TTTTTTTTTTTTTTTTCCAGCTTCTGGGCTTGGGCAAGGGTAGGTTACAGCCCACCCCTGGCTCCGCCAGTGTCTGCAGTTGCATAATTAATTAATCCTAATGTATTTGTAGATCATGTTAAGTTCAATTCCTTGAGACAAATTGCTCTCGACTCAAACTTCGCCAATTTTTGACAAATTGCAGATGGTTTTGATGGGAGCATTGTTTTTAGTTTAGACAAAATTGGTTTCTTGTTTTTCTTTTCAATTTTTGAGTGCTTACAAGTTACATCTTAATGCTTGTTTGTTAGTGCTGTTAAGCACTTATAAACTGTGAGTTCTGAATGTGTGGATAGTAAGTTGTGGGGTCCTATCTTTCTAAGGAGTGGTTTATTTTCAAACTCCTGCTTGAACAAGATAAAAATAAGAAATTGAAAGATTTCGTGTAGAAATTTCCTGAAAATCTTAGATACAAAGTATGTTTGGACAATCTAAGTTATAATTTAAGCTATGCCAAATATGCTCTTAATGATTTTATTTTTTTCTAAATTAACTTTTTTATTATTAAAAAAAGATGAACAAAATTTTAACCAGAAATGAGTTCCCTTGGAGAGTAACCATTTCTATTATTATTTCGATGAACTAGGAGAATTAACAGTATGTAATTTGTCAGTCTTAACCCTGAGGGGTTGCTCAATTGGTCAGACTTTGGGTTGCTTCCCAATAGTCATCAGTTCGAGTCTCTTCAGGGCCACTGAGGTGAGTACCCGGCCGTAAACTTCAGGGTCCTATGGAATTAGTCGTAGTGCGCGCAGACTGACCCAGACATCCACGGTTATAAAAAAAAATGTAATTTGTCAGTCTTAAACTTTATAATAATATTAGAAGAAATGGTAATTTGTTGCTTTTCATTTCACACAATTAATTTATTTATTCAACTTGGAACTGCATATACGGCATATCCGCATATGTATATATACATCATATAGTATATATCTAGCTAATGTTTGTCATTCTGAGATGCAAAGCTGTAGGAGACATAAGCACCAAGTCCAACAATAATAAGCAGTGCCGCCCCCGTATTCACTAGCAATTGCCTCTCTTCATTCAGCTCACCAAACCCTTTAGCTGCTTTCTTCTTCTGCTTCTTCAGTTCCAATTTCAAAGCACCCTGATAATGATCAGGAGAATCATAAACTGCACTCGATTTGGCAATTTGATGCCTTTTTGGTTGTTTCTCAGATTTGATCATCTTATTATCTTCGAGAACTTCAGAACTTATTTCTTTACCTTTTCCAATGTTATCCTTCAATGGGGCATTTTGCTGGTTTAAAATGTTTCTCTTCTGTTTCTAGGAATCCCCTTTTCTCAATATAACTCTTTTGTTTGTCTTCTTGTCGTCTAGTTCTAGTGCTTGGATGATCACCTGAAGTTCCCTTAGTTCCTAGTAGTTTTGTCATCAACAGTCCTCTTCCCTACCTTATCTACAATATTTTCATATGCATCAGGTTTCTCTGTCATTTCTGGGCTCGTCTCCTCTATATGACTCTTTTGTTCATATCACCTGATGTTTTCTGAATCCCTGGAGCTGGTTCTATACTTTTGTCATCAGTTATCGGCTTGCTACTACTAATCGTGGGAATAACTTTATCTTGACCCTGCCGATCAGGCTCGGGTTCCCTGGGAGATTTCATGCCTGTGGTTTTCGGAGGAAGGAATTGATCTCGAGCTTTTGGGCGAGGGATGAGGGTTGCTTGACTGGCTTCGTNGGGCGAGGGATGAGGGTTGCTTGACTGGCTTCGTCTTCGTTTTCTTCCTTTCTGTTTGTAAGTGTTTTACCGGTAATATTCTTTCTTGGGACAGTAACAATTAGAGTTCCTCCTCCATGCTTGGTGCGAATTAATGTTAGGTCGCTGTTATCCGGGACCTGGAAGTCCTCCTGGAAACGACTCCATTTGTTGCCGGCAACCAGGCGTTCTCCACGAACCCTGATGAAAATGTCTATGGTTGAAACTTTGAGTTGATCCTTCATGAAACTTGCAGGAGAAACAGGGTAGAGGTGTAAATCTGGCCCCACCTAGGAAGATGTTCGTGGCTTGGCACTAGCCCTGGTGTCAAGCTTCGCATTTTCTTATGGTGTTGGCCAGCTATTTTAATCTTAACTGAAGGCATAATGTCGCTTGAAAAGAATGATAGAAGTGAACTTACCAGGAACTTGAATAGTGAGAATATAAGTATCATCATCTTGTGACCATTCTGAAACAGGTTATCTTCATAAACTGGTTGGACACCAACCATTCTCGGTCGATTTGGAGCAGCTGTACCACCACGTCTTTGCCTCGGCGTTGCCATTCCTATCAGCACAAGCTCTCTCTTCCTGAGTTTAATTTGTTGTATTCTTTTCCTCTACTATGAAACTATGATTTCTCAAATTTAAAAATGGTAGATTGTCTCAACTTGTGTTGTGAATATATGGAGTATACAAAAACTTGGAATTTAAACAATTCTTTTGCTTTCTTTTCTTAAGAGTGAGATGATTCTAATTTTATTGTTTCCATAGTGTGATTCCTAAGAAGCCAGGAGCGACGGATATTAAGGACTTCCGACCTATTAGCTTGGTGAGGGGTATACAAGATTATCGCGAAGATTTTGGTGAATAGATTGAAGGAGGTGCTGGGGAACGTAGTGTCTAAATTTCAGAATGCCATCGTCAAAGGGCGCCAAATTTTGGATTTCGTATAGCAAATGAATGCATTGATTCAAGATTGCGACTAAGGGTTCCAGGAATGTTGTGTAAGCTCGACATTCAGAAGGCTTATGATCACGTTAACTGGGGATTTGTTTTGTATATGCTTTGGCGATGTGGCTTTGGAGAGAAGTGGTGCTAGTGGATTCAGTTTTGTATCTCTACGGTTTCATTCTCAGCTATGGTGAATGGCATTCCGGAGGGTTATTTTCGTAGTAGTAGAGGATTGAGGCAAGGGGATCATCTATCTCCATTGCTGTTTGTTATCGTTATGGAAGCATTTAGTAGGATGCTTGAGAAGGCCGTGGGACAAAGTTTGTTAAGGGGCTTTGCTGTTGAGCAGTTGCAGGTTTCTCATATAAAACAACTTCTAGTAAAGTAACTACTATTAAATGATAAAATCCTATCCAATAAACTACAATTTTATACAAAGTCAAACTATATCTTCAATACTCATTTTTCGTTTTAATTTGAATTGCTTTTGTACATGAGCGTGATTGTCCTTTGTTTTTCACTTTGCAGCCTTTCTGTAATTTTGCTGACTCCACTGAATATGCTTGTAGCATGTTTGGTAATGAGGATTTGATACTATACTGTACCAAGAAAGAAAAAAGAAGCTAAAATCTTGTTTATTATATTGTCTTTTTCCAATACTGCTTACCTAACATGCAGTTGGTATTCCAGTGATATAGACCTTTATCTGTCTGTAAAGGTTATTGACGAAAAGACAGAATATTGGGTACTGACTTCTCATCACAGTAATGCCATCTCGTAGGATCTTTGGGAACGCAAGTCTTTTAAGATCATGATGGCTTTGCTATGGAATTTATATTTTCTCCCTTTCCATGCATATAGAAAAGGAAATGGCTTTGGAAGGTAAAAGTTAGGTCCAAGTACAATTTTTTGGGACCAGCTTCCAAAGAATACTGATACCTTGTGCATTATCTGTATCCTTCCATTTTTCTGTATTGTGTGCATGCTGAGGTATTCATGTTTTATTTGTACTCTGGTGCAGCAATGGAACATTCTGCTGCAGAGGACAATGGAGGAACAAGTTCAAGAAGAAAGAGGAGGGCTTCAGAGGTGATGTAGGTTTTGCAGGTAGAGAATCTTGAGACGTCACCATCAATGATGAAAGTGTCGTGTAACTCATCAAATTCTATAAGCTTATGTGCAGTTGCATAATTAATTAGTCCTAATGTATTTGTAGATCATGTTAAGTTCAATTCCTTGAGACAAATTGCTCTCGACTCGAACTACGCCAATTTTTGACAAATTGCAGATAGTTTTGATGGGAGCATTGTTTTTAGTTTAGACAAAATTGGTTTCTTGTTTTTCTTTTCAATTTTTGAGTGCTTACAAGTTACATCTTAATGCTTGTTTGTTAGTGCTTTTAAGCGCTTATAAACAGCGAGTTCTGAATGTGTGGATAGTAAGTTGTGGGGTCCTATCTTTCTAAGGAGTGGTTTAGTTTCAAACTCCTGCTTGAACAAGATAAAAATAAGAAATTGAAAGATTTCGTGTAGAAATTTCCTGAAAACCTTAGATACAAAGTATGTTTGGACAATCTAAGTTATAATTTAAGCTATGCCAAATATGCTCTTAATGATTTTTTTTTCTAAATTAACTTTTTTATTATAAAAAAAAGATGAACAAAATTTTAACCAGAAAGAGTTCCCTTGGAGAGTAACCATTTCTATTATTATTTCGATGAACTAGGAGAATTAACAGTATGTAATTTGTCAGTCTTAAACTTTATAATAATATTAGAAGAAATGGTAATTTGTTGCTTTTCATTTCACACAATTTATTTATTTATTCAACTTGGAACTGCATATACGACATATCCGCATATGTATATATACATCATATAGTATATATCTAGCTAATGTTTGTCATTCTGAGATGCAAAGCTGTAGGAGACATAAGCACCAAGTCCAACATTAATAAGCAGTGCCGCCCCCGTATTCACCAGCAATTGCCTCTCTTCATTCAGCTCACCAAGCCCTTTAGCTGCTTTCTTCTTCTGCTTCTTCAGTTCCAATTTCAAAGCACCCTGATCATGATCAGGAGAATCATAAACTGCACTCGATTTGGCAATTTGATGCCTTGTTTCTCAGGTTCCGTTACCTTTTCCAATGTTATCCTTCAATGGGGCATTTTCTGGTTTAAAATGTTTCTCTTCTGTTTCTTGGAATCCCCTTTTCTCAATATAACTCTTTTGTTTGTCTTCTTGTCGTCTAGTTCTAGTGCTTGGATGATCACCTGAAGTTCCCTTAGTTCCTAGTAGTTTTGTCATCAACAGTCCTCTTCCCTGCCTTATCCGCAATATTTTCATATGCAGCAGGTTTCTCTGTCATTTCTGGGCTCGTCTCCTCTATATGACTCTTTTGTTCATCTTCTTGTAGTTCTATTTTCGTAATCGGATTATCACCTGATGTTTTCTGAATCCTTGGAGCTGGTTCTATACTTTTGTCATCAGTTATCGGCTTGCTACTACTAATCGTGGGAGTAACTTTATCTTGACCCTGCCGATCAGGCTCGGGTTCCCTGGGAGATTTCATGCCTGTGGTTTTCGGAGGAAGGAATTGATCTCGAGCTTTTGGGCGAGGGATGAGGGTTGCTTGACTGGCTTCGTTTTCTTCCTTTCTGTTTGTAAGTGTTCTACCAGCAATATTCTTTCTTGGGACAGTAACAATTAGAGTTCCTCCTCCGTGCTTGGTGCGAATTGATGTTAGGTCACTGTTATCCGAGACCTGGAAGTCCTCCTGGAAACGACTCCATTTGTTGCCAGCAACCAGGCGTTCTCCACGAACCCTGATGAAAATCCGGTCTATGGTTGAAACTTTGAGTTGATCCTTCATGAAACCTGCAGGAGAAACAAGATAGAGGTGTAAATCTAGCCCCACCTAGGAAGATGTTCGTGGCTTGGCACTAGCCCTGGTGTCAAGCTTCGCATTTTCTTATGGTGTTGGCCAGCTATTTTAACCTTAACTGAAGGCATAATATCGCTTGAAAAGAATGATACAAGTGAACTTACCAGGAACTTGAATAGTGAAAATATAAGTATCATCATCTTGTAACCATTCTGAAACAGGTTATCTTCATAAACTAGTTGGACACCAACCATTCTCGGTCGATTTGGAGCGGCTGCGCCACCATGTCTTTGCCTCGGCGTTGCCATTCCTATCACCACAAGCTCTCTCTTCCTAAGTTTAATTTGTTGTATTATTTTCCTCTACTATGAAACTATGATTTCTCAAATTTAAAAAATGCAGATTGTCTCAACTTGTGTTGTGAATATATGGAGTATACAAAAACTTGGAATTTAAACAATTCTTTTGCTTTCTTTTCTTAAGAGTGAGATGCTTCTAATTTTATTGCTTCCATAGTGTGATTGAAGAAGGTGCTGGGGAACGTAGTGTCTAAATTTCAGAATACCATCGTCAAAGGGCGCCAAATTTTGGATTTCGTATAGCAAATGAATGCATTGATTCAAGATTGCGACTAGGGGTTCCAGGAATGTTGTGTAAGCTCGACATTCAGAAGGCTTATGATCACATTAACTGGGGATTTGTTTTGTATATGCCTTGGCGATGTGGCTTTGGAGAGAAGTGGTGCTAGTGGATTCAGTTTTGT